ATATATATATATATATATATATATATATATATATATATATATATATATATATATAAAACAGAGTTTATGTTTTTAATTGCTTTTAGATGTTTCTTCAAATTTCTCCTTTTCAGATTCAGATTTACATATTATACTCTTTTTAAATGTGACTGCATCCTTCGAAGGATTCATTGGCGGATTACGTCAGTGTGGCGCCGAGGGCTATTCAGGTTGTAAGACTCGTTATGCGGCCAACAAATGCATTCTTCTCTTTGCTCGTTTTGAAGGACGGCTCAGGTGTATCCTATGTAGCTTTGGGAATCCTATGAATCATTGCTAGTCCAAATGAGCTGACTTCTCCGTGCTCAGAGTAAAAATGGAAATGGCGCTGAACAGTGTTGAATATTGTAAGTGCAGTTCAATGTAATACAAGGATGTGAATAGCTCCGAGTGAAATTAATGAAAATTTTTATTTTTAGATGGTTATTGTTTCAAATATGTGACGGGTAATGTTTGTTTTATTGATAGGTTTTTCTCTGTCCCTGTTCATATGGGTTTGGCTGACATTTAAGCATGGATTTCAATAAGTCTGCACTGTTGGGGGCTATAAATATGATATTTCGCAATGACTGCACTTCTGCTGAAGCTCCTTGAAAATGTTATTAGAACCCAGAACAGTAGTGAGAAGTTCAGCATCCATTCTTTGCCTGTTTTGTGTATCAACTGTCAGGGTTGCTGGGCGACAGAGGATACGCTGAGTGAGGGGCGTTGGAGGTCACTGAAGGCTGGACCTGTTTGAATCTGTAGCCAAACTCTTTCGGTCTCCCTATTTTACGGACCTCGAAGGATCCAGTCCAGGTAGACCGGGTCCTTGGAGGATGCAGCCTCTGAAATCAAACACATCAAATCTCTTCACTGTTGGGGGCGGGATTTCCTCTGGAGTTATGAGCAAATACACATTTCTATTGGTCCGCCTGAATCCTGGCAACAGCATTTTAATTCGTCAATGTACGTGTTAAGCAATTGTTTGCATTGGGCTTGAAGCGCGGAGGATATGATCTATGAAATGCAATTTAAAAAGAATGCAATTTGTCAAACACAATCTGAAAAACTGAAATTTTAACCAAAGAATAAAAAAGAAAGATTTAGATACAAAATCTGTAAATAATAAAAAAAAAATATTTTGCAACAATAAAAACATAAAAATATTTGAATATCATTTGAAAAAAAAAAAATAATATCACAAAACATAAGATCTGAAAAAACAACAAGTTCTCGAAACCTTGTTATTGATCAACAAGTTTGATTTCCTGATAAGGTTTTATCTAAATATATATTTACAAAAAAATGTTTGTTGGTTGCAACAATAATGGAACAAAATTCCCTCCATCTGATCTTAGCCTGGCTAGTCGATTCCAAAACTTGTCCTTCTATGTTTCAGGTAAGTGATAGCAACAGCTAAAAAAATATACTATATTTTCTGCAATTTTCTACTTAAAATGTATCTAAATATTAGTAGAAGCTTCCATTTATATTAAAGTTTGTTTGTTAAATTTGAGGTGTGAGATGAAGCAAATCCACAAAAAAATATTTTTAGTTTGTTTAGTGATTTACAGCTGATACAAACAAGGGCCGTCTTAAGTTAATTTACAAATCAATCACCCATCCATTGATTTTCTGATCTCCAGCTGTCAATGGCAAGAGGCGGGGTAAACCCTGGACAGGTCGCCAGTCCAATTTATTAACAGCTGAATCCAATCATACAGACTAAAGCTCAATTTATCATATAAAGTCAAACTTATGCATCAATTTCTTTATGCCATCATTTGCTGCATTATCACTCCGTTGGTTAAACAAATGATTTAACCCCCTAAATTATTCTGACATTCATGCCATTAAAAGGTGAATGCGGCCTCCTGAGGAGAGCTGAATGTGGATTAGATTATACGTACCTTCGATCCTGATGAATGTCAGTGCTGCCCTGAAGCCCCTGTGAGGGATGCTGCTGTCTGAGGTGAAATGAAGCAGCATGACGCTGGAGAAGGAAAGGACTGCAGGAGGGACGCTACCACCACACAACACAGCTATGGAAAAAGAAACAAAAAAAAAAACAACTAAAAGATCATTTAAAAATTTGCTGCTTTTTTATTCTACTTTACTAAGACAAGAGGTTTGCTTCAATATAAAAAGGGAATCTAACACAAAAGATAATTTTCAATTTTTGTCCTGAAACATGACATGTAGTTATTTGCAAAACACAGCCAATCAGGAAGTATTAATTTAACTCCTAGGGAGTTATATTTTAACACTTAAAGTGTCTTTATTTGACCATAAGTTAAATACCATATTTAAAAGTTTTAAGCAGTTAACACTGTGAGAGAGTTGGAACTAGTTTAAATAAACACTTATTAGGGTTTAGTATCAACAGTTAACACTATCCTCCAGTGTTAACACCAGAATGTATGGATAAAATTAGCTGAGTATTATCAGCCTTACAGTGCTAATTAATCCCATGCTTTCCCAATGTAGCCACAGCTGCCCTGCAGGTGCTACTGAGCTCTCTGAACATCATCAGAACTTCACCAACGTGAGCTGTTGATGATTCTATCACTGTAGTTTTTTCATTTATTTTAATTTGTGCTTCATATTCATCCTAAGGTAGCAGTTATACCTGCTGTTTGTCCACCTTTTCCTACTGCAGGTTTTCCTTCAACTGAACTTTCTCTTAGTAGCCTCATTACCAATTTCCTTTCTCAGCTGACCCACCTTGGAGGATGGGTGTGACAGTTTGTTAGTGAACTGTCATAAAAAGGTTTCCAAAGCCAAATTATTTACAAAACTATTGAGTTTGTGCTTATTTTATATCATTTTTATTCTTATAATGACAGGACCTGTCATTTAAATCCCATAATAAAGAAACTTAGAGAATTTTCTTTTTTCATCTGCACAATATTGCAAAAAGTTGAAATCCCCTGTCCAGGGGAGATGCTGAGAAACTAGTCCATGCGTTTGTTACTTCAAGGCTGGACTGTTTTTATTCTTTTCTACCAGGAAGTCCACAAACTGTTGTTAAAATCCTTCAGCTGACCCAAAATTCTGCAGTAAGAGTTCTGATAAATTGAAAACAGGGATCATTGCTCCTCCTATCTCTCCTATCCTGGCTTCTCTTCATTGGCTTCCTGTTAAATCCAGAAT